CTGTGAAAGGGGCAATGTTCCTTTTAGACATTGGGAAAGTAATCTAAATGGGTCTTATACTCTTATGCAAAGGTGGAAACTTCAGGTATTTACCCATGAGAAGCCTTCTCATCACAACAGATTTTTCTCACTGCCAATTGCATCACATGGAAAGGCTAGGCTTGAGATTCTAGGTGTGATATTTAAAACTGCATGTTCAGGTTTTAACTGCTGTCTGCCAACAGTCTTTTCTTTTGAATATGTGTGTCTATTTTTCCAGCAGCAGTTTGCAGAAATCTGAATGGCTGCATGAACAGAGAAAGCCCCAACAGCCTGCTGAAGTCTGAGACCTTCATTGCAGACCCATTGAGAACAGAAGACACAGAAGTATTCAAGGCTGTACTTATGAAAAATCAATACCCACAGACTTTGGGGAGAAAAGTTACTTTCCATTTTGGAGGAGGGAACTCTGAGACAGTGACCTTCCTCTTACCTGGCTGAAAATTAGATCCCTTAACAAAAAGGTGTGCCTAAGGTTTTTTTTTTAATTTTAGCACTGTAATAATGGGGGGGGGTTCCTTCCTTTGAGGGGAACCTAAAGGATGTGTCATTATGGAGAATGGGGGGGGTTGAATTGTTTTCCAGAAAGGTTAGTAGTCAGCTGGGCTCACATTGTATCAGCCATCTCACCTCTGCCAAAGATCAAAGAGCTGGAGTCTTCCCTCTGTCGGAAAGAGGATCTAGGTGGACAAGTATCTTTCCTGATAGGGACAAGGGTTGTAGAATTGGAAGAGGTAAGAAGAGGGATTTAGTCACTGGAGCAAGCTGATGTGAGGTTTTTCACTCTTAGGAAGAAGTTATAGGCTCCCAGGGCAGAGGAGCCCAGACAAAACTGGAGATGGAAGGCTCGTTAAGCAAGGGGCCTCCTAGAGGTCACTAAGGGGAGAAAGGATGATCACAGGGTAAGCTGGACTGGGCAGTCTGAATCTTAGAGGAATCTCTTTGGCCAAGGGAGGGAATGTGTTGCAAGCCAGGAAGCACCAGAAGGGTCTGTATAAGGTCCGAAGGAACCACTTCACCGAGGTGCTCTTGCCTAGAGTCAACACTCTGAGGAATCTTCCAGACCTGAGGCCAAATCAGGGCTTCCAGATTTGAATATACAAAAATACAGTCTATAACAGATTGAAGGGAGGAAGAAAGGTTGAGGAGGCAGTGGGACATCACAGAAAGGACTAAGGCTTTGGAGTCAGACTTAACGTGTGACCTTGGGCAAGTTACTTAACCCACAGTACTATAGGTACTCATAAATGTTCATTTCCTGTCTCTTCTAAAAGCTGTTCTTTCAGGTCAATTGTTGTATGACTAGAAGCCACGCTGTCTAATACAGTGGCTGGTATGAGCCACAAATGACTCTCAAGCACTTTAAACGGGGCTAGTCTGAATTAAGATGTACCATACATGTAAAATACACACCAGACTTCCAAAACTTTACACCAAAACAATTTTTAAATATCTTATTAATAATTTTAAAGTGATTGCATGTTAAAATAATATTTTGGATGTAGTGAGTCCAATGAAATATATGATTAAAATTAATTTCCCTTGTTTCTTTATACTTGATTTAATGTAGCTACTAGAAAATACTAGAAAAGGTGTGGCCCACCTTTTGTTCCTATTGGACAGTGCTAATTTACACATTAGGTAAAGACAGGGCTGGCAACTGTGTTCCAGAAGCTCATTTATTTCTGTATCTTGGGTTTAGGTTTTGGTTTGTTCTGTGGTTTCCCAGTAAAAAATTTTTTTGAAGAAAACGCCCATACAGGGCTCCACCAAAATAGGTGGAAGACATCCGTGCGCCCCTAGTGGCTGGGCGCTGTGGTGGTCACAGTCCAGGAAAAATAGGTAGCGCTGGTGTATAAGAGAATCGAGATGTCAGGTCGGACAGTCAGGACAGACAGCTGGGGATGGACTATTCTCTTCTTAGTCTGGAATTCCACTCTGAATTTCTCTACCTTTCTTTACTTCAAGAAGACCGTCCCATCCTTTCTTATTTCAGAATGTTTCCCCACCTTAAACATGATCTTGGCAGAAATCAGGCTCCCATCAGGTGGTAACAAACACAGGTGCAAGAGAAAATGCCACTTCAAAGCCAACTTTAGAAAACCCCAGAGTGTCCAGAGAAATTAACAACAGACATTCACAGACATGAGAATGTTCTTTTTTTTCCTCCCTCTCAAGAAGTGTAGTTAGTGGCTGTTTTTAAAACTGTACATTTTACTGTACATTTTTTTTTTTTAGCAAAGGAGAAGATTGGCATTTATATTCTGACCACAGGGATGTTGCTTTCCAGAACTCTAAGTCAGAAACATGACAAACAAAGGAGCATGTACATATCATGTCACAACAGAGCTCAGAGTCACTGATGAGTATAGACAGAGTCAGTTCCTCCCTTCCACCGTCGACCTCTTCCCCTCTGCGGGTTTGAATCCAAAGGCAAAAAGAAAGTTGGTTCTGAGACCACTTCCACATGGCTATAATTTAAAAGGATGAATGAAAGAGGAGAAGACAGAAAAGGGAGAAGGAGAAAGAGGAGGGGGAAAAGAGCGTGAGTGGGAGAAATTTTCTTTCAAGCCATCCAGGTCTGTGGATGTCTCTGTGACTACAGAAGGGATGTGCTCCAGCATGGGGACTGGCCTGGAAAATAAACTTGCAGTCTCAGGAGAGACTGGCTGGGTCTGTTAATGACCTTGTCAGGACCAGATGGGACTGGAGAAGGCAGAGAGTCACAGGAAGAAAGAAAAGAGTGAAGACCAGTGAGTGGAAGGAAGGCAGGGAGCTGGGTGGGATGGGAAAAAAGAGGAGGCATGGGATTTGGAGGCTCCCGGGCTCCACCCAGAAGGTAATCCTGCAAAAACTGTCCCAGACCTCTTTCTTGTGTGTTCCAGAATGGGGCTGGAGGCTGGCAGTTCAGCTCCAGGGCCGAGCCCTTTGAAACCTTTAGGTCCAGAATGGGCTCATCTATATATTTTGTAGGCTGTGTAGTTGCAAATGGAAGAAGGAGGGAGACAGAACACGAGAGAGAAGACAGAGGTCTACAGAGAATGAGTTGGGGAGACTGAGGGAGAGGTAGTACGTTGCCAATGAGGAGAGACCAAGAAGGAAACAGACCAGGCGGGACAGAGATGCAGAAGGAAGGTTGTTCCAATTTGTCCAAAGCAGGTCCTCCCTCGGCACGTCTCCTCTGCCCCTCCTCTTGCCACTGTGTGGAGTAAGGGGTTAATCCCTAGATGGAAAGGAGCCTGTCACCCCTCCCATTCCCATCCTACAATTTTCAAGGATGGATCCTCCTCGGGAAACCAAGAGAAGGCATCCCCTATGCCCCATCTGAGTCACCTTCTTCAGGAACAAACAAGGGACAGCCTTTGGACACAGAACTGCCCCAGTCAAGGTGAAGACAGGGTCATGGATCCCAAACACTACCCACCAGAGGCAGATGGCCTTGGCTCCTGTCTTGACCTGGACACTAACTCAGTGCGTAGCCTTGGGCAATTCCTTTATGCTCTGGGGGAGGGGAGAGGATTAAGAATTGGATGTTTGACTGCGTTTGGTAATCCCAGCACTTTGGGAGGCCAAGGCAAGTGGATTGTCTGAGTCTGCGGGTTTGAGACCAGCCCAGGCAACTTGGCGAGACCTCGTCTCTACAATAAATCAAAATTTAGCCGGGCGAGGTAGCCCGTGCCTATAGTTCTGGCTACATGAAAGGCTGAGGCAGAAGATCACTAGATCCCAGTGGGTCGATGCTGGGGTGGCTGTGAGTGTGACACTGCACTCCAGCCTGGGCAATGGAGTGAGACTCCAACTCAAAAAAAAAAAAAAAAAAGAATGGGGTGATTGCAAACACCTCCCCACATCTTAAAACCACGTGATTTTAAACAAGACTCAGCATATCCCTCCAAAGCCTCTAGAATTCCCTTCTGTGTTCAGTAAGAAGGATGAGGCTTTAACCAGCTTGTGCTTATGGTACTGCTAAGCAGGAAACCATAACACTTAGAGTTGTTCAGAGTTAATTGGTCCTTAGAACTGGAAGGGAATTGGAGACCTTCTAGGACAATCCCAGTATTTTGCAAATTATTATAGAAAACAGGTCCCAAAAGAGAAAAGGGTCTTGCTCAAGTTTTTCAGCTGGCTATGCAGAAGGGTCTAGAACCCAAACTCAGGGCTTTGGGCCTAAGGTCCATGGCTCCTTCTGCCACCTCATACTGCTTGCCTTATATCCTCTTGGCCTGCCACGTGCTCATGGGGATGTTCTGTGCCAGCTTCCAGAAAGAGAGGCACAAATCCCAAAGCAACTCCAAAAGTCAGGGTCCCTTCTACCCTACAGCATAAAGTCCTTCTTTCTCCCCACACATGAGATGTCCTGGAAGTTATCCTTCTGGTTTAGGCTGCTGTGATGGGTGTGGGGTGTCATGTTTAAGGGGTCAAGGAAACTGAGTCAGGCATCAGGGGTCACTCACCCCTCCCAGTGCAGGGTGTGGGGGTGGCTGGGAACAGTGAGTGCTCTGCATGGGGAGCTCCACAGTCTTCCCCCAAACAAGTGTGCAACTAGAATCATTCCCTTCTCTCATCAACTGGCAAGAATCACCCACTACCAGGGCCGCTGGGAACATGCATTCCATATGCACAGTGAACTCTTCAATTGCATGTGTGAACGAAGAGGAGAAGTCTGGGAAATGGAAAAAAGTAAATTAAGAAATAAAAACAACACTGGACCCATAGGCAATCCAAAGCCGCTTGCTTGTAGGCTACATTTGTGTTTAGAAAGGCGGAGCCTCGCCTTTCCAAACACTCAGGGCTCAGTCCGACATGTCAGTGAGTCCGCATTCCCTGAGCACACCCCGGCTGGGTGGTGGGGAGGTGATGTGGGTGTTGGGAGAGTAGTGGGGGGACAAGAGGCCATTGACAGGGAGACAAAACTGTCCCTGGATGTAAACATCACCATGAAAACTCCACAAACATTTGCCAGTAAAGATTCTTTTCCCTTCTCCTCCCGCCCCGCAAGCAGGGAGAGAGCATGCCCACCCCTGGGCTCACACCGTGCTCTCCATCACCCACTCAGAGCTGCCGAAAGTCCCCCGGGCCCCCACCAGGTCACTCTCCTCAAAGGGCAAGAGCATGCCATTGACAGAGAGGCTGCGCTTCGTCCAGATGTTCGAGACCCTCCGAGGAGGGGGGCTGTAGCCACCAGGGGCGACCCCTCCTGTAGCCGCAGCCGCAAAGTCCCCCATGTCGAAAGAGTGGCTGCGTTTGGCCTTGCCCTCCAGGGGCAAGGGGAGCAGGCTCCTGGCCCGGGCCGCGGGGGGCCCCAGCAGTGGCTCTCGGTCCGACTGGTGGCCCCTGGCCGACGTCCCAGACCCTCTCCCAGCTGGAGTCCTGGAGTCCAGCAGCTCCTCCTTTCTCTGACTCTTGAGGTCCAGGGAAGCAAAGGCCCCCATTAGGCGGTCAAGGCTGGGCTTGGGGCGAAGGGTAGGGGGTGGGAGCCTCCAGGGGCCCCGTCCCAGTCCTGCAGCCTCCCCACTGCCCAGGGAGCTGGAGGAAGAGGAGTCACTGCCTCGGGCCAGGCTGGCTGTGAATTCGACGAGCTCGTTGCGCACCACCACCTTCGGTGGGACCTGCGGCGGGGCCCCTGCGGGTGTGCTGCCTGGAGGTGGTGGCTGAGCCCCCATGGTCTGCGAGTACACGTTGCTGACAGCCGCTGCCATCTTGCCGGGGGCCCCATGGTTGCAGACCTTGTAGCGCACCAGGAGGACGATGATGAAGACCAGCAGCGTGGCTACGATGATGCCCCCGATGACCAGGATCATGGTGCCACCCAGGATCTGGCTGTGCATGGACTGGCACTGTGGGTAGTCAGCCTTGGTGAAGAACTGGGCGCAGCCCACGATGTTGGTAGCCGTCAGCGTTGTGGCCGTGTCATCCCACATGGCTAGTACACACAAGTCATAGCCGGTCCCTGACACCAGGTTGTTGACCACGAAGGCCTTGTTGGAGGCTGGGATCATCCTGGGGTGGACACAGAGGGGGCAGAGGGGCAGGGTGATGAGGAGGGGACAGAGGCAGAAACAGAAAGAGTAACCAAGAGGGGCAGGGGGACAGAGACAGACACAGAGAATGGGACACGGCCAAAGAAAGAGAGACAGGTGAAGAGGTATAAGAGGGAAGAGACAGAGAAGAGAGGGAGGAGGGAAAGGAGGAAGAAGGGGAAGGGGCCGGCAGGTGGTAGGAGTTGGGCAGAGGAAATAATGAAGGCAAAAGAGATGTGAAGATAGAGACCCAGGTAAGGGAACAGAGAGACAAGTTGGGTGGAAAAGGAAGTGGGAGAGGAAGATGATGGGTTGGAGCAGCACAGAGAGATGTAGACAGAGAGAGACACATCAGAGATCGGGGGTTGGGGTTGGGGGGATGACCCAGAAGATACAGAAATAAGAAGACAATGAGTATGAAAATGAAAGGAACGAGAAAGGGGACAAGTAACAGTAGAGACAAGGGAAGCATTTAGAGGTCCAGAAGAAGAGGAAGGCACTCAAGAGAGGTGAGAGAGGACACAGGGCAAGGCAGAGGGAGAGACACAGAGGCAGAGAGTTAAGGTGTGAAGAAGCAGAAATTATACAAAGGGACAACCTGCCACCCCCTTCCCCTCACCTGCTACAAATATTCCCTCAGTCTCTGGGAAGGGAAATGGGAAGGGTCAGGGGTCAAGCCAGCTCTGGTCCTGTTCTAGCTCATCCCTGAAACTTGGTCCAGCCCTTCCTGTATCCTCTAAGATTCATCAGAATCACCAGCAACACACACTGAGCCCTCTCTATGCCGTGTCAGAGACGAGGTCCTGCCCAGAGGAGCCAATACCACCCTCATCTCCAAAGGATTTTCTCATGACTCAGGAGGGAGAATGTTTGCTGCTGACTGGGAGATGGGGTTCCAAGCAGAAGAGGACTAGAGGTAGGAGGTGAGGGCTGCTGCTCCAAGGTGGAGAGACAGTGGGATGTTAAAGACCGGGGGAATTCTGCATCCCAGAGGAAAGGGAGGACCCTTTAGTCACAGCCATCGTAGGCCAGGCTCATCTGAGAGACCTGAGGGAAGGGCTTCTAGTCAGGAAGACCCTGACTACTCCTTCCACCTTAGGGGAGGGTCTGATGGGGTGGCAAGGCCCCACATCGGGGACTGTCCACTGCAGCCAGGGCTTCTCCCGCCTAGCCCCTCCATGAAACTCAGACACAAGTCCTGACCTCTAAGACCCTTATCAAGGCATCACACCTTTTGTTATTTTTAGAGATGCTGCCTGTGTTGCCCCCATAAACACTCCTGTAGAAACACCCACCCAGCTCTGAAGATTCCACTCTGTAGCGTCCTGATAACTCCTCTACTCCCGGAATCCCCATCCTCCTATTTCCTACTACTTAAAAATGAAAGGGCACCATCAGCTCCCATCGGCACCATCCGCTCCCATCAACCCCACAAACCCAGAGCCAGGCAGCCTAATTGAGATCTCAAATATGAAATACCAAAGTCTGAAGACTTCCACCTGGGAGCCCTACACGAAAGATTGGAGCTGACAGGCAGATATTGACATCCCGTCAGTGGGCAGCCCAGAGGCTGCCGCCTCCCGCCTCACTCTCCTCACCTGCTCAGCTACTGAGGAAGCCACACTGGAAGAAACCCGGCCTCCAGGCCCCATCCCTATCCTCAGCACAGTGCTTGGAGCAGATGAGGCCAGAGGGGAGAAGGGGGGGTTGGATCCAGCAGGGACCCTGCAGCCAGCCCCTTAGGTCTATCTGAGGACTTTACGGCTTGTTTGACCCAGGCACCATGGCAGTCCTGTGAGGCTAGTGGTCCATGCTCCCAGTTCACAGAGGAGAAATGGATGAGACTCAGAGAGGCTAAATGTTTTGGCTGAGGTCATACAGATAACTAAGATGAAGAAGGTTGGAACTTTTAACACTGGCTTCTGGGTCCACAGCCTGGGCCTGTTCTTCTCTGTGTGACAGACATGGGAGCCTTTTTTTGTGTCATTTCAGTGAAAAGTCCAGCTTGGTCTGTGGCTGGTCAACCACCTCCTTCCTTGGAGCAGCGCTCAGAGCCTGCTGTGGCTCACATTCCCCCTCTGGCAGAATCCTTGGCTTGCATGGTCAGTGCTTCAGAGGACATGAGTTATTCAAGGCCTAATTCCTTCCTCTTCGGGGCTAATACTATAAGTTGGAAAGGCAGTGCTAAGCACCCCAGAACAGTGACAACAGAGCCAATACCAGCTGGTAACTGTATGCCAGGATCTGTTTTAAGTGCTCTATGTCAACTCACTTCATTCCACAGCAACTCTCTGACATAGCCACTATCACGATCCCTACCACTCAGATGGGGAAACAAAGGCATGGAGGTGTTAAGCAAAGATAACACAGCAGAGCCAGGACTGAAACACAGGGAGACAGCTCCCGTTTGCCCCGAATCACTGCACTTCACAATCTCACTGGGTCATGGGCCCATGCAATAGTGTGTCTATTTGAGGAGGGGATGGGCATGCTTGCTTACTGAAAATCTGCTAGGTGATATAGGTTTTCACCCTCACAATTACATTTAACACAACATCCCCAGGACACAGAAGATGTACCACGAGCCCAGAAATCTCGATCTTTAGCCACCTTCTCCTGGGAGACATACCATGTTACTAAAATTACTACTACTAATAACAACAACAAAAAGAGAGTAGTCAACATGAGGGCTTACTGTGCCAGGCACTATTTTGAGGTATTTAAGAGACTTAAGACTCGTTTAATACTCCCAACAAATTGGAGGTAGTTATATTACTGTCATTTCACTTTACAGATTAAAAAAACAAAAACGAGGCACAGAAAGTTTAAGCTACCTGCCAGGCAGTCTGGCTCCAGGATCTCTGTTCCTGGACACTGGGCCATGCTGCCTCTCAGACACTGCCCATTGCCCTGCCCTTCCTGGGAGACTGTGTGAGGTCTTGCCTGGCCTCTCCTCCCTCCCCCTCGCTTCCCAAGTCAGGGAAAATCATAATGTGATAAAGCTGCAAGTGGGCAAGTTTTTAAGCAAGTGGGAAAAATCAGAGGCTGTGTGGAAAGGAGGGTAAGAACCATACGGCAGCCTGGCTGGAGAGCCCAGCTAAGGAGCTTGGACTGTATTGTGGATCAGGGTTGGCTCTCGAAGGGTGTCTCAGAGGGTAAGGGGCATGGCCAGGGTTGTGTTTGGAAATGCTGGTGCTGAACATTGAGGGGAAATAGGACAAGGCTGGTTCTTGGCAGACCTCTGGCACCAGGGATAAGGGCTGAGTCTGGACAAGAGTAGCATTCTAATTGGCCCATCAGAAACAAAGCCAGAGGAATGCAGCATCAGGATGCAGAGCAGAAAGGCTGCTCCTCTGCCCCGTGGTGTGTGTGTGTGTATGTGTGTGTGTGTGTGTGTGTGTGTGTGTGTGTGTGTGTGTGTGTGTGTACGCGCGCGTGCACGTTGGGGGAGGAGGAGTTGGTTGGAGGGACTCAAGAAGAGCCAGAGCCAGCTGACTCAAAACAGCCCGGCTGGTAAGGTCAAGTTTGCCTTTGTCAATAACACTAAAAACCAGTATTCACCAGGAGCTTACCTTTGCTGGGAAGTTTACATGTATTATTTCATTGAACTTCCTGACAACCCCTTGAGGGAATTACCATCATTCCCCTTTAGAGAAGGAGGAAGCGCCGGGCTCGGTGGCTCAGCCTGTAATCCTGCACTTTGGGAGGCTGAGGTGAGTGGATTGCCTGAGCCCACGGGTTCGAGACCTGCCTGGGCAACTTGGCAAGACCTCATCTCTACAATAAAGCAAAAATTAGCCGGGCATGGTAGCGCGTGCCTGTAGTTCCAGCTACTTGGAAGGCTGAGGCGGAAGGATCGCTGGAGCCCAACAGGTCGAGGCTGCGGTGGCTGGGAGCGGCCACTGCACTCCAGTCTGGGTGACAGAGAGAGACTCCAACTCAAAAAAAAAAAGCAAAAGAGAAGGAGGAAGCTATGTGCTTTGCACTTTCCCTTGGGGTGAATGATGGTGCAGCGACCAGATTAGATCCTTCTGGATCCAGAACCCATACTTCTTACTCAAAAGCAAGACCAGCCTATCTCTAGGCAGCCAGCAGACAATCTGCATGAAAAAGCCACCTGAAATGGGCACTCCGGTGTAGAAGCGGAAGTCATCTCCCACCTGTGTGCCTCTCTCCACTCTATTCCACCCCTGCAACAAAACCACCCACGAATCCTCCAATCTAGAGCTGGAGAGCCTGGATCCCCCCTTCATTCCTGTTCACCAACCATCACTCTGACTGGTAGCTTCTGCCTTCTAAATACTCCTCTGCCTTCCCAAGTCCTGCTTTGGTTCAGGCCTCCTGCAAACAGGCTGTCTACCTTTGGGTGCGCTCTCTGAGACTCAATGCTCAGCACCAGCATTTCCAAACACAACCCTGGCCATGCCCCTTGCCTTCTGAGACACCCTTCAAGAGCCAACCCTGATCTACAAGAGACAGTCCAAGCTCCATAGCTGGGCTCTCCTGCCAGGCTGCCGTATGGTTCTTGCCCTCCTTTCCACACAGCCTCTGACTTTTCCCACTTGCTTAGAAACTTTCCCAGGTAGGAAAACCCTTAGAATCAGCTGGGCTCTTTAGGAGCAAGAGGCACATGCCCCAGGGGACAATTAAAGGTCTTATTTATAAAGGGACTCATTTCAAATAGGTGGGTAGGGTGTAGAGGACGACACATGAATGTGTAATAGTCCAGGGCTGGTTGCCCTTGAGCTGTTACCCTTCCCTGCCCCCCTCCACCCCCAGGCCCAGGAAGAGAGAACCATTAGGTCAGGGCTGCTCAAGGCATCACTCACAGATGGATGCTGGGTTCAGAACTGTTCATTCCTGCTCTATAGTTAGTACAGAAATTGAGAGTAAGCATTCTATTTCATAGACATGTTGCAATGGTTGTCACATTCAAGTGCATGATGATTTTTTTCTGATGGTTTTTTTCTATTATATTCT